AATTTTATGTTAAGTGCATTTTACCATACACACAAATCATAAAGCCAGCTGACAAAAAAGAAATACCGAGACTGTCCAGTTCTGGGATCACAGCAGGGCACTGCGGAGTGGGTTTGGAGCTAAGAGGCAGTAGATTGGTAACTGGCACAGAGACAAAGTGTGACTGGTGGTTAGCAAGGACAAAAGGCATACAGGGACTCTTTGTACTATTCTTGAACTCTTCTGTATGTTTGAAATTATTCCCCAAATGTAAAACTTAAACAAAACAGCCACTTTGGCTGAAACTGGAGAAAATAAGACATTGGAAAGGATTATTTTACTTTATTTTTTTTTTTTTTTTGAGACAGAGCCTCAAGCTGTCCCCCTGGGTAGAGTGCCGTGGCATTACAGCTCACAGCAACCTCCAACTCCTGGGCTCAAGCGAGTCTCTTGCCTCCGCCTCCCAAGTAGCTGGGACCACAGGCGCCCGCCACAACGCCCGGCTGTTTTTTGGTTGCAGCCGTCATTGTTGTTTGGCGGGTCCGGAGTGGGGATTCGAACTCGCCACCTTAGGTGTACGTGGCTGGCGCCTTAGCTGGCTGAGCTATAGGAGCCGAGCCAGGATTATTTTACTTTAAAAATTGCAATGGGCTCTGTAAGAGAATTTGATTTTGGACTTTGATTCTTTTGGACTTTAAAATTATATTGATTTACTTGAGTTTTTAACTTATGAGGGCAACACAATTTGATTTCAGAGGAAGATAGTGAGTAGCAAATTGTTGAGAAATTACCAAAAGCTCCTCTTTTGCTGTAGGGGTAAATGGCGAAGACTGTTAAGATCTAGATCCCCCTCTAATGTAGAAAATAGACAAGTTAAAGCATAGGTAGGAATACCCAAGGAACGTCTAAGCCAATTAATATCTCCTAAGAGTCACTGAAAGTCATTAAGTGTTTTAAGCTCATCAGTGTGTAATTCAACTCTTTGAGGCCATATTTTTTGAGAATCAAGTCTATAGCCTAAATATCAAAAAGGAGGGTGAGTCTGAATTTTATCAGAAGTTATTTGCAAACCATATTTATGTAAAATGGAAGAAGTATATTTTAATATATTTTGTAATGTGGAGACCTCCTCCTGAGCAAACAAAGTATCATCCATATAATGAATTATAAGAGCAGAGGGAAACTGCTTTATTTCCTGCAGAGATTGGTTACCACAATGTTGACACAAGGTGGGGCTATTAAGCATTCCTTGTGATAATACACACCATTGATATCTATTATAAGGCTTATGCTGATGAAGAGAAGGTACCAAAAAAGCAAGTGAAGGCGATCTTCAGGGTGTAAATAAATGGTAAACAGCAGTCCTTTAAATCAATAATACGCAAATGCCAATTTCTAGGATCATAGAAGGAGATGGCAGGCCAGGCTGTAATGGACCCATAGGTTGAATGGTAGAATTAACCTTTCTTAAGTTTGTAAGCATTCTCTATTTTCCTGATATCTTTTTTATTATATTTATTATTATTGTTGTTGTTGTTTAGAGACAGAGTCTTACTTTACTGCCCTCGGTAGAGTGCTGTGGGCGTCACAGCTCACAGCAACCTCCAATTCCTGGGCTTAGGCGATTCTCTTCCCTTAGCTTCCCGAGTAGCTGGGACTACAAGCACCTGCCACAACGCTCGGCTATCTTTTTTATTATAAAAATAGGAGAATTTCAGCTTCTTTCTTTTCAGATGAAAACATCAAATGGCGGATGATGATGGTGCAGCGGGAGGGCCTGGAGGCTTAATTCTAGGACTGGCTTCAGAAATGAGACTCATTCCCTATAATTGGGATGCAGTCGCTCATACCATTCTTGAATCAGACCAGTACTTGCAATTTTGAAGAAAGAAGAGGCAGCATTGTTACCCAGCAAAATCAGGCTAGAGGCCCATCATGGAGGATCAATTACTGGGCAGAGGCCAGTGGGTAGGAACTGAGGCTCAGTTACAATATGATGATGTTGCTAGCGTACAGACTCGTCTGTGTGTACGAGGGCTTGGGAAAGAGTTCAAGCCCCTGGTGAGGTCACTGAATCTTTCACCCAAATATCGCGATCTAATGGGGAGCCGTATGTGGATTTTTGGCACAGCTCCGGGAAGCCATTGCAAAGGCGGGGGATTGTGATTATCCTGAACAGCACCTCGAAGATATTGATCACTGGCAGCGTGCTGTGTAACTGTAACCAGATAGAGTCCCCAAATTTGAGAATGAAAAGCATCAATATCCCCTGCTTTCCTTCCTTCCAAAATGGTCTAAACAAATGAGGACCTGCAGGGGTGGAGCTCGGGTCAGAGCGGAGCGGGAGGGGCGGAGGGTATTGCCTGAGGCCCCTACACTCTTTGAGGTACTTTCACAAGTCTTGTGTGAGTCTAATTAGAGTAAATGAAAGTTATCCATGCGGTTGGACAGTTCAGGCAACTGTGCTATCCATACCTTATAATTAGGCGGTGCTTCTGCCCCCTCAAATTCACTTTCGGATAAGGATTCGGAGCTGGATTCCTTTTTACTAATATTACCACAGTCTGCACTGGATTCAATTTTAGCTTGTACCTCACAATTCTGTGAAAGTTCTTTCTTTTCCTTCTTTCCCTTTTGTTCAGCCGCCTCTTTTTTCTTGCAATGGAGGCAAGTTAATTTATGGTCAGAAACTGACCCTTCGGAGACTCATTCTGTTTCAAACTGCATGGGCTGCAAAGCCAAAGTATTAAGATTACAAAGAGACCACACAGACACAGGGATGTTGTCACCTTGTTGATGATCGCCATGCAAGGCACACACTACATGCTTCCAAGTTTTTACATTTAAAAAAGCGCTACCAGGAGGCGCACCTGTGGCTCAAAGGAGTAGGGTGCTGGCCCCATATGCCGGAGGTGGCGGGTTCAAACCCAGCCCCGACCAAAACTGCAAAAAAAAAAAAAAAAAAAAAAAAACCCTCTACCAATAACCAATAACAGTGCTTGTGCACATATTTAAATAATTCCTCAAATTTCTTTTGTTTCACCTTTGCCTCTGTATTTTCCAGGAGAGTTCTGAGAACTTTCACGTCTTGAGATTCTAAGGTTGGAGAATTCCCTATTGTTCTTCTTAATCTCCCCTGGAATCATTCTGAAAGTTTCCTTACCCCTAGCGGAATTCCCCTTTCGGTCTGGTCTAGCCGTAGATCCTGCACCAAATGTTGCGTTTTGTCCGTGGAAACTGCAGTTTCTCTGAGGAAACGGACCCCAGGACGTGGGTGATGAGTACAAGCTGCCAGGAGAGAGGCTCACTGTCACTCCAAAGAGAGTTCAGCCCCTCGCTCCTGCAGGGTTTTTCTTAGAAAGTATTACAATGCTTTGTCAACAAGTAACCTTCCTCATGGCTAGCAGTTTCTTTCCTTAATGCCCTGTTGGTTTCTAATCTGTACATAAACATTTCCTTGAACTCTCCCTGACCTTCCTCATGAGAGCACAGAGTCGTGTGGCTGAGCTTCAGATGCCCCTGTGCTTGCATCAGGAATGTCTGTACACCCTCATGTCCTCTGAGGTCGAAGTCAGGTCACGGACTGAGAAAAATGCCATCCACATATACTTTTATCAGGGTCCTCAAGGTTCCTTTCTCACAGGGACAACTTCAAATCTCCATACATTCTGGATTAAACCAGTCAATGCTGACTATCCTGAAATAGCCACAAAAGCACTGAAAAGCCTGCTTCCGTTTCCAACGTCCTATCTTTGTGAAGGAGGGTTTTCTGTAGTGACAGCAGCCAAAATGAGATGACACAGTAGACAGGACATAAGCAGCACACTTCGGGTGTCACTGTCTCCCATCACCCCCTGAGAGAACTGTCTAGTTGCAGAAAAACAAGCTCAGGGGTCTCACTGGTTCTGCATTACAGTGAGTTATGGAATTATATTTATATTATATGCACAATGTATTACAGTGTAATAATAGTGTGCACAATTAATGTAATCATCCAGCCTGAGCAAGAGCAAGACCCATCTCTACTAAAAACAGAAAAATTAGCCTGGCATTGTGGTGGCCGCCTATAGTCCCAGCTACTTGGGGGGCTGAGGCAGGAGGATCAAATGTGCCCAAGAGTTTGAAGTTGCTGTGAGCTATGACACTAAGGCACGCTACCCACGGTGACAGTAAGAATCTGTTTCGAAAACAAAATGTAATGCCCTGAAATCATCTTGAAACAATTCCCCCACTCACCGCCCCACCGTCGGAGGAAAAGTTGTCTTTTGTGGAACCAGACCCTGGTGCCAAAAAGGTTAAGGACTGCTGCTCTACAAACGGTTTTGTTATCAAAGACGCTCTGGTTGCTGGAGAACAGCCAGAGTAGCCTCTTCAAGATTGTTCTATTCTTCCATTTCCAAAACCACAGGGTTTGGGTGCCAACCCCATATACTGGAGGTGATGGGTTCAAACCCAGCCCCAACCAAAAACTGCAAAAAAAAAAAAAAAACAAAACCCACAGGGTTCTTTGTTTGTTTGTTTGTTTGTTTTGAGACAGAGCTGTATGTGGCAGGCACTCTAACCACTGAGCCAAAACCACAGTTTTATACATGAAAGTTCAAAGTAAAAATCATGCTAAGTTTGATCTTAAACAACAAAATCAGCATAACTCATGACACGTAATAAACAATAATCAGCATAATCAAAACAACATTCCCATTCAAAAGTTCATCTCCTACATCAATTGCCCTAACCTACTCATGAGATAGACTTTTAGGTTAAAGCTGAAATGTATAAAACAGCAAGAATGGGAGACATGCGGTGAAGGTCACGTAGGCCCTACACTGACCCGGCCAGCTGAAATAGGCCCTCGCTGGCCGGCTCCATTCTGTTTTTACAGTATCTTTCAGTTTTGGTTTCCTAAAGGGGTCTGGTTTCCCAGAAGGGGCTACGCCAACATGGGCAGTGGGCGTTGCTTTTCTGTGACTGCAGTATTTAACTCTCCACCCAGTTTTGCAATCTAATCCCTGCTCAGAAGCCACCGGAGGAGAGCCTGGGGCCTCTCCCCACTCTTCCATCTGCCCTTCTGCAGCCCAGACTCTTGCAGACGCCTGCCAGAAGCCTGTTCTCAGAGAGGAGAGAACAGAGGCACAGGACCTGAGGCAACTCGTGTGAGCTCTGTGGGGAGAAGGTGGCACGGCACAGGCGGGGTGGGGGTGAGGGCTGTCCTTTAAAGACAAGGTACCCAAGGGGCGGCTCTAAGCACCTGGTTCAGGGAAAACAGATGTCGGGACAGCCAGCATTCAAATCTCAGCTAGCTGCTCACTTTGTGAGCTTGGCTAATGGTCAGCTTCTTCGTGTTAAGGCAGGTTGGAATCTCTCCCCATAACATGGTTAAGGATGTGATATGACTCTCCTGATTGTGTCTTCCCCTCCATCGTGGGGGATCTTAGGGCTCAGATAGAGATGGCTTCGCCCTGAGAAAGTAGGTGACAAAATTGGCCATGGGGGTTTTCTGGCAAGTTCTGTGCAGGAGGGGTTCGGGGCTCATCCTGGTAGAAGGAAATGCTGCGTGAGTTGCTGGAAACTGCTAAGCCTGTAACCCACGGTGTTCTCTAGACCGTAGGTTCATGTGGAGCAGTGTGGGGAGGGGTCGGGAGCGCTGATCTCAGAGCCAGGTTTTCAGAGTAAACGAGCTTTTCCTGCTTAGACTGTGTTCCAGGAAGTTGGCTTTCAGGGGGGAAGGGGCCATTGGAGAATATGGCAGAGAATAGAGGCTCCCCAGTCAAGCAAAGACAGTGCAGTAAACATCAGCTTCCATAGGAAAACAATGTCTCAAATCTTCGCCCATCAATTCTGTCCCTTCCCCAACATAAAGGTCCTCTCACATCCACCAAGAGGTCAGAGGGGAGGAGATGGGACTCGCTTAAACTAGAGAGTTTCCTGATGTCACCTTTGCCCGTCATCGTGATCGGATGGTTCTAACATGAAAGTTTAGGGGAGGCTGGATGCAGTGGCTCATGCCTGTAATCCTAGCTCTCTGGGAGGCTGAGGAGCATGGATTGCTTGAGCTCAGGAGTTCAAGACCAGCCTGAGCAAGAATGAGATCCCGTCTCTACTAAAAATAGAAAAACTAGCCAGGCGTTGGGTGGGCGCTTGTAGTCCCAGGTCCTGGGGAGGCTGAGGTAAGGGGATCGCTTGAGCCCAGGAGTTTGAGGGTGTTGTGAGCTATGATGCCAGGGCATTCTACCCCAGGGGACAGAGTGAGACTGAAAAGCAAAGAAAACAAAGAAAGGATAGGAGCCATGTTGGAGGCACTAGTGAAGAATGGGACGCTAGACCAGGGTTTCTCAACCTCGCACCCCTGATGTGCTGGACTGGGTGAGCCTTTGTTGGAAGGCTGTCCTGTGCATTTTGGGGTGTCAAGTAGCAGCCCTGGCTTCTACCTACTGGGTGCCAGAGTTACCTCAATTGCTGAACCAACTTCTTGTCTCCTGAAACCAAAGAATGAATTCACAGATGGAGGGAGATGGCAAGTGAATCAGAAGTTTATACAAAGCAAGTTTAAGGGCAAATGGGAAAATTCCTTTATTGAGAGAGAGAAGAAAACCCAAATGGGTTAACACCCACTGAGGCTAAATGCTAAGGGGATTATATATGTTGTCTGACTTCATCTGTGTTCTTTGTGTGCAAGGAAGTATAGCCTACATTCCTTTTGTTCTTTTGTGCCTTCACTTCTGGTGCCAGGTGCTTAGATTTGAAAGTGAAGGTAGCATGAGCTTAGTTTGTTTTGTTTGTAAAATATAATGTCAGTAGTGGTTATTTCTGTGTGGTGAGAGGACAGGTGAATTTTATTCTCTATTTCCAAATTTTCCATAGCAAACCTGTATTTATTCAAGTCATTAGAAAACTAATGGTTATAAGAACTTGGGTCCCTTCAAAATATGTATGGGAGGATTTTTTTTTATTCCTATCTTTTTGAGAAGGAGAAAGGGGAGAAGATGTGGGCGAGGAAGATGACCATGGGGGAGAAGGCATAGGGAGGAAATGTCGTTTTTGCCATTAGCCCAGGGATCAAGAACCAAATATAGGGACGGAATGAAAGAGAACATATTAGCGTCCTTACTCAGGGCTGCCTGTCCAAGCTCCACAAACTGGGTGCCCTAAAACAAGGGATATTTATTGTCTCACAGTTTTGGAGGCGAGAAGTCTACAATCACGGTGTCCCCAGGGCACGCCCCACCTGCAGGCTCTAGCAGATAGTCCTTACCTTCTCTCCTTCTGGTGGCTT